TCGGCGCCAGAGACGGGGCCCCCCGCTCCCTGCCCATCGCCGGGGCTTTTCACAGCAGTGACACTCGCAATGCCCCCAATCCAAGGCCCGCGCTGCTGCTCTGCCAGCCAGCATCTCTGTGGCCCTTGCAGGCCACTGCTCCGTGACGGGAAGGCAGCGTTCCTGTCTCTCCGAGCCCCCGGGGCAGGCCTGGCCCCACACACCAGCCGGTCGCCCCGCGCTCTAGTCCCCTGGAGGGGGCTCCTGCAGCAGAGGGGGAGCACCCCGCCCACACTGAACGCAGGGTCACCCAGCAAGCCGGCTGGCCAGAGCCGTGCGAGCCCTGGGCGGGAGGAGCCAGCACGACAAACCCACATGAAACCGGCACACCCAGAAACCAGCCCGGTCCCAGGCTCAGCCTGGGACGCCTGCCGCCCACTCGAGGAGGGAGCCGCACCCTGATCCCTGCATCGAGCCAGGATCGAATCCAGTGGGTCACCCCCCACCGTCCCCCTGAGGTGAGTCTGGTCTGAGCCGGGCCCCCTCCGCACCTGCTCCAGCAGCTGGATGGTCCCGGCCTGCTCATCCAGCTCCTCCTCCTGGTCCTTGACCTTCGCCTCTAGGTCCCGCAGCTGCTTCTTCACCTTGGCCAGGGAGGCCTCGTCCTTGGACTCCTGGGAGGAGACGTCTTGGAGCTCGGCCTCCAGGGCTTCCACCTTCTGGCTGAAGCTCATGATGTCGGAGTCTTTGTCCTGGAAGAGAGTGCAGGGAGAGCCTGCTGAGCCGGCTGCACCGAGCGCCCAGCCGCAGCCCCGCCGGTGAGGGGCAGGGAATGGGGTGGCCATTCTGCTCACCTCCAGCTGCTGCTTGAGGCCGAAGACCTCTGCGATGAGCATGTCCTTCTCCCGACTCAGCTTCTCCCGCAGCAGCTTCTCTCGCTGGGCTTCTTCATGAGCCTGAGCGAGCTCGCTGTCAAACCTGCAAGACACCCATGGCCAGGCCGTCAGCTCAGCTCAGGCACCAAACCCGCCCCGTGCCAGGGCGCCCTCCCCCAGCACTCTGCTATGGAGGTGCTGTCCGCCCAGCATCTGCCCCGTCACTGCCCCAGGCAGGATCCGGGCGGGACGAAGCCGAGACCGGCTGGTGCAGCAGCTCCTGCTGAGAAGGTGCACCTGGCTCCAGCCCAGAAGGGCACGCATCTTTCCCCGCCTCCCAGCCTGGGCCCCCCAGGAGATTCCCGGCCGGCACTGAAGCCCTGGGGAGCAGGGGCTGATCAGCACCAGGCCGTGGTCCCTGTGGACAGGCAGCTAAGCACCTTCCTCCTGGGAAGAAGGCCAGGGTGCTAAGGCAGCCAGGACAGCCTGAGGCTGCTCAGCGTGGGAGGTGGGTGCAGCGTCACCTCCTTCTTGCTCAGCTCTGGCCTGTCACTGCCTAGTCCACTGGCAATGCCGATTCCTGGAGCTGTGCAAGGAGCCGGCCCGCACCGGACAGCCAGGAGAGCCCTGGGCGACAGCAGATGCACCGTGGAGCAGGACAGTGTCCTGGCCTGATGCACGGGGCCAGGAAAGGAGGGAAATGCCTCTGAGGGTGCGTGGACCCTGGGAGCTGGGGGGAGTCCCAGCTCAGGAAGATGACCCCGCGCGACCTCTGGGTGAGCAGCAGGAGGGGTCGCTGCTGAGCATGCGCCTAGCGTCTGTGATGGGCACATACTCGGGGCAGCTAGCCCCTCCCCCTGCCACGGCGCCGCTCTCTCGAACTCGTCCAGGTGCTGATCCTGGCCACCCCAGGCAGCGCAGAGAGCAGATCCCCGGGGGGCACGTCACCCTCTGGGAACAGCCCCTGCTGACTGGCCGGAGGGGGCTTGAGGCTGGGAGAAGACAAGAGCTGATCGGGCCCCCATCTCCCCCCATCCCCGCAGTACCCTCAGGGGAACTGTTTCAAAAGCGGCACAGTGACTCAGGGGACGTCTACACTGGAGCTGCAGCCGTACAGGCGCTAGCGCCGATCCAGCGCGATGTGCCTGGGGTGTCGGACGGGAGCGTGCCGAGCCCACCTGGCCGCCCGTAGCGGACTGGGAATCACCCCCAGCTGCCCGGAGATGTTCCCGCAGGAGCCCAAGGCTGAAAACGGACGTAGGCTCCTAAGTCCCTCGGGCCCTTCAGAAAATGTCACTCCAAAGACACACGGCGAGTCCACGGCTGAGCCGGGAACTGAGCCCGGGTCTCTCTCGCCAGAGGCCACTGGGCCGCCTCACGCCCACCTGCTGGCTCTGCCTCTGGGGCTGGCACTGGTCTGGCAGCATGGCACATTCCACCAGCCCCCTGCAGTGTGCCCTCCAGCTGGGCCAGGGAGGGAGGAGTGCCCACGTCGTGCCCCACGCTGCTCACCTTCGCTGCTTCTTCTCCAGCTCGTGGCTGCGCCCCTGCTGCCCCTCCAGGTGCAGCTTGGTGTCCTGCAGCTCTGCCGTCAGGCGCTGACACTTCTTCTTCAGCTGCTGCAGGGCACGCTGGCACTCCTCGTTATCGGCCTGCAGGTCTGCCAGCTGCGGGCGGGGCACGGATTAGGGCTCTGCAGGGGGAGGAGGCTGGGCATCCCATCGCCGCCACTCAACCTCCCGACTCAGCCACGGAGCCTTTGGGGTGAGCCCCTTCCCTGGGGGGGGGGGGGGGGGGGGGGGGTGAGCAGACAGCCTCTGTCTGGCCCGGGCTCTAGGCATGTGACGTTATGAGTGGAATATCTCACTGAAAGGTGACAGGGCCAGAAAGAGTTAATTACCTCCCAGACTGACCTGACCCAGGGCCCAACTTTAGAGACTGGTTAGGAAGATAGGTAAATGCATAGAGCTTTGAAATGCAGCCGGCATTGGTAGAGAGAGGAAGGGAGCTGTTTGCTCAGGTCTTGTGATGTAAGCAAATGAGTCTGGTCTATTGCTATAGCTTTAATTCAAAGATCAAAAAAGGAATATTAACATTTATGACGACACTTGAGTGAAATAGTATTATTGTCTCTATGTCTCTTTGAAGGTTGTGATAAACTGTATCTGAACTGTTTAATGGATAAATTACACTATGCTAATTGCCAGGATGTTTGGGAGACAGAAGATTAAGCTTATTCTCTCAGGCCGACAGGCTGCTGGAAAATGTATAAAAACCTTGGGACACCATCCTGTTTTATCTCCGATCTGCTTTGGGTTTCAAGAGGGGGAAACCTTAAGCCACAAGAACTGAGATCCCCAGTCACTGACTGGAGTCACCCTGAATATGGACATTGGACTATAACCTATGGACTATTTCTAAGAGGAATTTTGGCAACTACAAGCTCATCTCTCCTATGTATCTGAACCTCAAGAATTGAATTCAAGTCTGTCTGTATATTGATCCTTTAACCAACACTCTCTCTCTTTCCTTTTTTAATAAATTTTAGTTTAGTTAACAAGAATTGACTCTAGCGTGTATTTTGGGTAAGATCTAAGTTATAATTGGACCTGGGTATGTGGCTGATCCTTTGGGGTTGGAAGAATCTTTTCTTTTATATGATGAGATAAGATTTTCAGTAATTATCATCATATCTGACGTGTGTGTCTGGACGGAGGCCTGAGGCAGGGCACTTTAAGGGAATTGCGTTGTTTGGACTTCTGAGTAACCAAGCTGTTTTGGGCTGGCTTGGTAAATCTAAGTATTGGAATATCCACCAGCGTTTGGGGTTTGTCTGCCCCGTTCTCTTCGCCGTTCACCCTGAGTGACCCCAGCTGGCTCCCACGGGCACCACCGTCACAAGGCGCTGCACGGGGGTTAATGGAGCCAGCAGCGCTGGCACAGAGAGGCTGAGTTCTGAGTACCCTAGTGAAGGAGATGCTGGGGGGTGGGGGGGTCACTGGTGCATGTTAGGGGGAGAGGAGGGTCACCGGTTTGCGTGGGGGGGAGGGAGGTCACCGGTGCACGTGTCACACCCCTGGCAGGGCTAGGCACACTCACTCTTCTCTCCTGCTGCCTCTTGCTCTGCTGCTCCACCTCCAGCTTATCCTCAAACTCCTGCTGCACGCGCTTCTTGGTGAAATCCACCTCGCGGATGGCTCGCTCGTACTTCAGCCGCCACTCGCCGCCTGCGGGAGGGAACCAGAGCCCCGGGCTGAGCAGACCCCAGACTGGGCTTGCGGAGCACACGGAACAGGGCGGGGGGAAGTGGGGGCATCGCTGCTGCTGCTGCCACATGTGCTGAAGGCGGATGGTGAGAGCTCCCCCAGGGGGCAGGGGGTGACACCGAGCACGGATCGGGAAAGTCACCTGCCCAGGGCGCAGAGTGAGATGGGTGATGCGCCCCCGTGTGTGGAGATGGAGGGGAGCGGAGGGCAGGGAGCGAGAGGGGGCTCCAGGGGGTCCCGGGGGGCTGCCTGGGGCAGGCCAGCACCTGAGTCGTCGTCGTCGAGGTCCCCATTGAGCTCGGCCGCCCGGATGAGCCGCGCCTCCATCACTTCCATTTCCATGGAATCCATCTGCTTCTTCAGCAACTCGTACTTGGCCTGGGAGGGGGAAACAAGGCCCAGGTTGGCGCCAAGGGGTGGAGCAGGGCACCAGGCCCAGGTCGGCGCCAAGGGGCGGAGAGGGGGTTTGTGGGAAGGCACAGGGGGCATTCCCAGACTGGGGAGAGGGGCAGGGCAGGGGGAGCAGGTGGCTGGTGTTCAGGCACAGGGGACAGTGCCAGACCAGGGGCAGGGAGGGGGGAGCAGGTGGCTGGTGTTCAGGCACAGGGGGCAGTGTCAGACCG